CCCCCTGGCGCGCTTACCCCGCTCCAGCCCCAGCGGCTCTCATCCAGCGCAGCCATGTCGGCGCCGCTGCGGCGAGCCGCCCGCCCGCCCGGTCGCCAGTGGGGAGGGCGGGGCTTCACGAGACCACGCCCCCGGCGACGGGCGCCCCCTGCGGAGGCGCGGTACTGCCTGCGCTTCTCTCCCTGCGCCATGGGCGGCCGCCGCACCTGCTGTCGCCCCTGTCTGACTGTCCTATTGCAGCCTCTGTCTGCACCGCCTTACATCTGTCTGTCCTGCCCGCCACAGCTGTGTGTCCCCTCGCTATCCCTTTTTCCCATGAAGTGGACAAACGTATATGAAACATCTGGGCCCAAGATGATGGACAGGATGGTGAGCAGGCCAGACAAACCCACTGCCTTCACGGAGCTTAGGCTACGATGAAGGGAGAGGTAGACAAACATGACTGTGATCAGAATTGGGAGTGAGGACGGGATGATCTAAGAGGGACATTAACAGAGTCCTTGGAGCCCTAGCCGGTTTGGATAGAGCTCAGTGGATAGAGCATCGGCCTGTGGACTGAAGGGTCCTGGGTTCGATTCTGGTCAGGGGCACATGCCCAGGTTGTGGGCTCCATCCCCAGCAGGGGGCGTGCAGAAGGCAGCCAAGTCAATGATTCTCTCATCATTGGTGTTTCTATCTCCCTCTCCCTTCCTCTCTGAAATCAATAAAAATATATTTTTTTTAAAAAAGAGAGAATCCTTGGAGGTAAAAAGAGGAGGGATGTGGGTCACTTTCACCGCAGAAAAAGCCCATGCAATAATTGCAGTGTATGATGGTTTATGATGGTGAGGATATGGGCAGGGAAGTTTATGCATGGATTTGTGTGTTGGCACATGCATGTTGAGGATTTTGAACTTACAATAACTCTGAAGAATAAAATGTGGGATTCAGTTGTGTATTTGAAGATCACTGTGGCCACCGTGTGGCGACTGGATTGGATGGGAGCAAGAGTGGAGGCAGGGGGGCAGGGCAGTCAGAGGCTTTCCGAGCATCCCTTGATGGCATAGAGCAGTGGTCGGCAAACTCATTAGTCAACAGAGCCAAATATCAACAGTACAACGATTGAAATTTCTTTTGAGAGCCAAATTTTTTAAACTTAAATTATATAGGTAGGTACATGGTTATTAATTAGGGTACTCCTAAGGCTTAGGAAGAGCCACACTCAAGGGGCCAAAGAGCCGCATGTGGCTCTCGAGCCGCAGTTTGCCGACCACTGGCATAGAGGATAGGGGGGCCGATTTGGAAATGTCTGGACATGTCTTGGTCACTGTATATGAGGACAGGAAGATGGAGGAGGGGTATAAAGGTGTTTGTGGGGCCTTTTGCTCTGATAGTCTATGTTGGAGGAGGTTTATTGGACATTCTGAATTTGAGGAGTCTTGTGCAGTACCCAAAGCCTGCAAACATTTTTGAGAATTTGGACAAAGGTGGTAAATAAAACCGTATGAGTGGACAGGAATGCTGGGGCAAAGCTATAGAATGAAGAGGACCTAGGATTGAGTCCCCCAAACTTCTAACATCTAAAGTAAGGAAGAGGGCTTCTCCTCAGCCTGGGCCCTGGTCGGGGCTCAAGCAGGAGGCAATCAATCGATGTGTTTCTCTTACATCGATATTTCTCTCTGTCCTTCCTTCTCTCTATAAATCAATGGAAAAAGCCCTAGCCAGTTTGGCTCAGTGGATAGAGCGTCGGCCTGCAGACTGAAGGGTCCCTGGTTTGATTCCAGTCAGTTCAAGGTTGCAGGCTCCTCCCCGGTTTGGTCAGGGTGCGTGCAGGAGGCAACCAATGTGTTTCTTTCACATTGATATTTGTCTGTCTTTCCTTTTCTATCTTCCACTCTCTCTAAAAATCAATGGAAAAATATCCTTGGGTGAGGAATAAAATTAAAAAAATAATAATAAAGGAAGAGGAAAATAAATGGCCAGAAAAGGAGGAAAATCAGGTGAGACACCATGACAAGAGTTCTTAAAGAGGGTGGACAGTTGTATCAGATGCTCTAGACTAGGGCCAAAGGAATGTAGGAGAGATTGAAGTGTGGCTGTACCTCACCACTGGCTGGATGGGGGTATGGAGTCCAGAAAAGGGCTTTTGCAAAGCCAGCGGAGGTTTGCAAGTTTGTCTACACATCTCTCCTTCATAGTATTGCTTTTTCTATTTTAACAAAAAGTAATCTACTTGAATCTAAAAATAAAATCAAGTTACCAAAGAACCTATACGCGTATTATGTATAGCCCATGGACACAGACAATACTAAGGTGAAGGTCTGGGGTGGGATGGAGGCTGGGTGGAGTGGAGACCTGGGGAGAAAATAGGGGACATCTGTAATACTGTCAATAATAAAAAATAAACTTAAAAAATAAATAATACAGAAGAGCTAATAATACAAAGCACCAGCCAGTCTTCTCTCCACTGCAAGAGGCAACAATGTTTTTTAAAATATATTTTTATTGATTTTTTACAAAGGGGAAGGGAGGAGTATAGTTGGAAACATCGATGAGAGAAACATTGATCAGCTGCCTCCTGCACGCTCTCCACTGGGGATCAAGCCCGCAACCAAGGTACATGCCCTCGACCGGAATCGAACCCAGGACCCTTCCATCCAGGGCCTAACGCTCTATCCACTGAGCCAAACCGGTCAGGGCAAGAGGCAACAATTTAACAGAGGTTTAATATGCTAGTTGCTTCTGTATCTAAGTACCTTGCTATTTCTCAATTTCAGTTGTTAGTAATATATTACATATTGATTTTCTGCCTTTACAACCTTTCTCCTCTCTTCCCATAGTAGTTTTATGGTACCAGTTTTCAGATCAGTCAATAAAGTGCTTGCATTATGTCTATAAGTACTTATTGTTTACTGCAGAGCCCAAGTAATGTTCTTTGATTACATTTTCTTTCTTGAACAGATTGTGGATTTTTGTTTTGTTAATCTTCACCCAAAGATATTTTTTCCATTGATATTTTTGACAGTGGGAAGGGGAGAGATATATAGAGATACATTGATGTGAGAGAAACATCGATTGGTTGCCTCCTGCAAGTGTCTTGACCAGGGCCAGGGATCGAGCCTGCAACCAAGGTATGTGCCCTTGACCATGATCAAACCCGGGACCCTTCAGTCTGTGGGCTGACAGACTGAACAGCTTGCACAAAGCATTAGGGGGCAATCAATGTTGGTGAGACTTGAGGCAGTCTGATCCCCAAGAAAAGGAAAGCACACCGAAATTTCACATTTTCCTGGCTTTTTCCTTGACATTTGCCAGTGTATGTGAGGGACTAGACTTAGAAATTGACAGTTCTCCACTGGGCTGAGTTTACAGAGGCTAGACCAGACAGCTGGGGTGTGAGGGTAAAATTTCCATGTGGGGTATTAGCTCCCCAATCTACATACAACCTTCTGTTGAGGCATTTGTCAACTCATAACCTGCTCATTGTCATTGCAAGACCCAAGGTGTTCATCAGAAAGTAATAATGGAGGGCCCTAGCCAGTTTGGCTTAGTGGACAGAGCATTGGCCCGCAGACTGAAGGGTCCCAGGTTTGATTCTGGTCAAGGGCATGTGCCTCCGTTGCAGGCTTGATCCATAGCCCTGGTTGGGGCATGTGTGAGAGGTAACCAGTTGATGTGTCTAACATCAATGTTTCTGTCTCTCCCACTCTCTAAAAATCAATGGAAAAATATCCTGAAGTGAGGATTAACAACAAAGTAATAACAGAGGTTAAGGAGCTAAGCAGAGATCCCTTTTTTATATATTCCGTTTTTATATATTTCATCCAGTCTTTATAACTGGTCTGTGCCCCTTTAGTCCAAAATGGGCTATTCTTTTTTTAAAAATATATTTTATTGATATTTTTACAGAGAGGAAGGGAGAGGGATAGAGTTAGAAACGACGAGAGAAACATCGATCAGCTGCCTCTTGCACACTCCCCACTAGGTATGTGCCCGCAACTAAGGTACACGCCCCCGGCCGGAATCGAACCCGGGACCCTCGAGTCCGCCGGCCGACGCTCTATCCAGAGACAAACCAGTCAGGGCCAAAATGGGCTATTCTTCATAGCTAATTCCCAAAGTCTAGTCGCAACACATGGGATATCTATGAAAATATACTAATTAGAGGTATTTAGTTCTCTCTTATTCCCAAAGTTGTCTCTCCTGGGACCAGTTTTTTTTATCTTGTGGTGTCTTGCTGCAGGATTTTAAAGATGCATGTCATCTTTGGGTGTGTGTTTATAAAGACCAAAGCAGTTAGAATCAGTCCGATGTAGCTGACAGGCTGCCTGCCTCTGGGCTAACAGGCCAAGTTTGTCTTTAGGCTGAAAAACCTACCAAACACCGAAGTAGGTCCCAGCTTGTATCTCCTGGACAGCAAATGCCAAGCTTCATGCATCAAGTGCCGAAACAAGCACTGCTGTACTCACATCCCGCCTTGTCTCCTACCCTTCTCAGAACTGCAGCTGCAGCCTTGAGTCTGAGTCCAGCAAGAGTGACTGGCTTCTCTCTCATGGGATCACCAGACAAGGGTTCTCTCCATCATAATTTTTTATCCAGAAATGTGTTGAAATCTCAACTGCTGTGAAATGCTTCTGTTTCTTATTTGTTATCATTAGTAGCAAGACAAACGGTGAAATGCCCATCATGAACTGAAGGCCATTTTCCATCCTGGCCGCGTGGACTTCCTGCTCCACCTAATCTTCTCATCCTTGTATCTTGCTCTCGTTCCATTTCTTCACCCTTTTCCTGCTCTCCAATTCATATATAATAGCTTCTCTCTCACACAAAGTTACAGCTTCTACTGAGTAATCAAATGCTTAGGACCCACCGCTTCCCCCACCCAAGCTAGGGTTATGTGTGGAAGGTTAAAAAAAAAAAAAAAAAAAAGAGGGAGACACACTAAGGGATCAAAGACTTTTACAGAGGACTTCCTCACCCCATTTTAAACAGCTCCAGTTATACGCTGGGGTATCCCCAGCCCTAGGTCATCAAGTTCAAGTTCTAGGCATGTGCTGGAACACAAACCAAAGTAGGGTTAACATGTCAAGTGACAACCTTTTGGG